GAAAATTTATTTTTTGACCCATTTTCGCATTTTTTATAGGGGGTGCATCGTGTTTTTTTGCAAAAAATGTCAAAAATTAAAATTTTCCAGGTTTTAATGCCAATGGATTGGAAATTAAACAACGAGTTAAACGAGATATGACATTCTTCGATCTGACGATTATTTTTGTTATAGCAGCCAAAAAACTGAAATTTTATGGCGAAAAAATGGGATTCAGATTTCGGTCACAAATACGATATTCAGAATTTCGCCAAATAACCGATTTTTCTTTCCAGTTTTTCAATCGCAGTTTGGCCAAATTAAGGCGTACAGCTAAAAGAACGACTGTTTTGAGCAGCTTGCTAAATATGCTAACGATTCCAATCATTTTAAGGAAAATTTATTTTTTGATCAGTTTTCGCATTTTTGGTAAGGGGGTGTATCGTCTATTTTTTCGAAAGAAGTCAAAAATTAAAAATTTTCAGGTTTGAATGCCAATGGATTGGCAATTAAACAACGAGTTCAACGAGATATGACATTCCTCGATCTGAAGCTTATTTTTTTTTATAGCAGCCAAAAAACTGATTTTTTATGGCGAAAAAATTGGATTCAGATTTTGTCAAAATTTTTTCGCAAAAAAACCGATTTTTCTTTTTAGTTTTTCAATCGCAGTTTGGCCGAATCAAGGCGTACAGCTAAAAGAACGACTGTTTTGAGCAGCTTGCTTGCTATGCTAACGTTTTCAATAATTTTAAGGAAAATTTATTTTTTGACCCATTTTCGGATTTTTTTATAGGGGGTGCATCAAGTTTTTTTGCGGAAAATGTCAAAAAATAAAAAGTTGTCAGGTTTAAATGCCATTGGATTGGAAATAAAGCCACGAGCTCAAAGATGTATGCCATTCCTTTTTCTGACCTTTACTTGCAATTTGGCAGCCAAAACTGATTTTTTAAGGAGGAAAAACTAGGTTTCAAACTTAGTCGAAAATACTCTATTTTTATTTTTCGTAGTTAAATCTCAATTTAATTCATATCTTACCAAATTTAAACTACGCGCGATTTAAGCTTCAGTTCAAACAATCTGGTAACTCCGCTGGCGAGGTATTCGCCTGTCTATCGATAAGCAGAGTCAGCTGTTATCCGTATTTATCGTTTTGCTTGCACAACAATTTTGCGGCGTTTTTTCCAGCAATTTAAGGAATTTTCCCCATTTTACTGAAACAAAATGCGTCTAACGAACGTTTTATTCAAGAAAGTGAAGAGCAAGTGAGTAGTTTTACTTTCCAAATTGAATTTATTGCTAATAATAAAGGGCTTTGCAGGCGAATCATGGTTGTGCTGGAAAGTGTGGTCAGCGGACACCAATATAATGCCTTTCGCGACCGTTTGGCCGACAAATTGGAGATAATTCGCTTCGATCCGTACAGTGAGTACTGCCTACGATAACTACACTCAAAGTTATAGCAGTTGAAAAGGCAACTTCACATTTATAATAGCTTTAATATTACCCTTTTAAAGTGGGATAATTTTGATAGGATATTCAATATCTTTTAAAATAGTATCTTATATTAGCTTATATATATTATTATAATCCTTAAAACATTCTGTAAAAGTTTCATTACCTTAGCTTCTGCCAGTTTTCTTTGAGAGGCAAATTGGGATCTAAGGTTATGTACTCAAAAATCTCAGTGAATCTATACCTTCAATACAAAATGTCCTACAATTTGCTTGGAAAATAATCCTTTCCTTTTAATTTGTTGTATTTAAATTCCAAATCTACATAAGTTTAAATATAGAGGTGCTATTACTTTGAGAATTCGTGTATATACATTTCACTAATTTAAAAATGTTCTTCTATTTCCAGTTCAACAGGAGAGTCTCTATCGCGAACGCAAGAAAATCCGCAGCGCCTAAGGAAATTTGAATGCCCCGCTTTTCCCATTGTTAGTTAATAAAATACAAAACAACCATTTAAACAAAACGATATATTATATTACAAATGTGATTGGGCTTCCAGCAAAACTTGAGGATTACAAATATGATTAAAACTGGGCTTATAGATGATATCAGCTTGGTACCGTTTTTGGGTTCTTAATATTGTCTTCTGGATTTCTAAGGCATATCCCAGATTTAGTATTGATTTTTTTTTAGATTACTACTTATTTGCTGATCTTTTTCTTGTTGTGCATTCCCTATTGTTTTTGCAGGATTTTCAGTAGACTGTTCTCCTCGCAAAAATGTTTTAAAATCTTGAAGATCTTTTACAATTTCGTAATACCCTAAATTCCTAACGATCTCTAGGGATATCCCATGGATTTTCTACAGACTAAATGGTTTTTCGGTCATCAGAAGACCGCGTTCCCACAACGCAGTGACGACCTCCACTTTCCGAGCCGCAGTATCCAGTGGCAACTGGCCGACCGTGAGGTAGAATGGATAGGCAGATATGAGAAGCTCAACGGCAGCCGCTTCCTCGGGCAGGATCTCCATGAAAATGGGCTCGTATTTGCAGTACTCGAGGGCGTTGTCCACATGGTGATAGATCCTCACGCTGCCATCGTCCTCCGTGACCAGACGCAGGATATTGGCGCGCAACAGGCGCACGGATGTCTTGGCGTCGAATTCGTAGTCGCAGATGCAGTTTCCCTGCTCATCGGTTGTGCTGCGCGAGCCGAAAACGGTGCGCAGCTTCTCCTCGGGCAAAATGGTCGGCGGCAGTGCCTCATGCTGGAACTTCTTGGCCAGCTGATCGGTTGCCTTATCAATATCCTCAGCGGAGGGAACAAGTTTGCGCACCAATTTCTGAATGCCCTCCACCAGCTGATTGCGTGATTTGCTTTGATTGGACCTCTGTGCCTCGCCCAGAACATGGAAAGTGTGCAGCGGCAGGCCGCGACGCAGGGCCACACTCTGCTCCACGGTCTTCTTGAGCACAATGGGCATTAGTTTCTCGAGCAGATTGGCATAGGCCTGCTGCTGATACACACTCAATGTGATGTGTAGCGAGTGTTGTTCCTCCTCGGTGACGGCTTGATGGACGGTGCCTCGGGGGAAGTAAAGCACATCCCCGGCTTCCAAGACCTCATCGAGTATCGGCTCGCCCAACTCCTCCTGATCATAGTTGCCCGACGAGATCCTGGCCAGCTGATCGGACTGAAGAGGCGGCTCGTACAAACGCCAACGCTTGCGTCCCTCCACTTGCACCACAAAGGCCTCGATGTCATCGTAGTGCGGTGCAAAGCCTTGGCTATTCGGCGGCGTTAGGTACACATTTGCCCCGACCAAGCAGTGAAAGAACTCCTGCAGTATGCTGCACACCTGTCGCAGTCCCGGCAGATAGGTAGATGGATTCAGAATACGAATGCTGCAGCCCTCCGAGTACATACCCCAAACGACTGGCGGCATGGCCCTGCCCTCGGGATTAAGAGTCTCACGCTTGCCATTCTTGTAGCTGGTCACATCTAGGTTGATGGTGAAGTCCAGGCGATGACGAATCAGCATCTCGTCTATCATCTTGAAGGATATAAGATCGCTGTAGTACTTGGGATTCTTGCGCTGCACCAGGCAGGCGTTCTTCTCCCAAAAGTCCTCGAAAAAGTGTTCGGTTTTAACGGGATTGAGGATCCACTGCAGGATGCGACGACCCTCTTCGATGCTGTCGGCTTTGTGAATTTCTGTTGGTAAAGCTGGGGGCTCTGCTTGATAGTCATTGCTGCTGCTCGTGGCAGTGTCCTCCTCCATTTCCTCGGCGGCAAAGTCATCTTCCTCCGGCAATTCCTGCTTAACCTGTGGGCTTTTGACTGGGTTGTCCTTTTTGGGTGGCAAAGGACAGGACTTGGCCATTCCCGACGGCAATGACTTGCGTTTCTCTGGCAGCGGGCAAGATTTGGCGGGACCTCCACGCACTGGGGACTTGTTGCCAGATGCAGAGGCTCCCGTTTTGGATGCTGGCAGGGATTTTCGCACCAAGGGACAGGCCAGAGCCTCTCCATTGACCTGAATCGGCGAGGTCTTCTCCAAGCCCTGACTGCGGCGTTTGTTGCGGTTGGAGGTGGCTCCTTGGGCAGGTTCCTTGGCCACCTTCCTGTTGTTATTTGAATCAGCTGGCGGTGAATCCTCAGCTTGCAGGCGTCGCTTGCGATCAGTGGGCCTGGCCGCCTTCGATTTGCCCTTCAGGGAGCGGGCCTCTTCTGGCGAGGATTGGCTGGACTCGCCCTTGGAGTCCCCAGATTCATTCTCAGCTGCCAGCTCAAATTCGGCGGTTACATAGTCCTCCAGCATTTTGCGCCTCTCCTTCTGCTCCTTGGTTAGTTTGGCGTTTGGATTTAGGAGCATATCCACATCGGCCATATTGATATCCGATTTGGCAGTTTTCTTGGCTTTAGCTGTACCGTTATTCGGGCTTTTGGGCTTCTTGCGGCTGCCCTGCGCTTCCGCCGTTTTTGGCATTTTTCGAAGTGTTTTTCAAAACAAATTGGGGTTTTAACAGCGGGTATTTACTGCTGGCATGCACCTACTTAAGAACAAAACGAATTACAGGATGGTGCTGCTAAATTCTGACACAAAAACGAACATTTAAATGTCTTCTGCACGTGCTTACTTTTACAGCTATTATCGCCGGTGGCTTATCGACTTATCGATAGACGGAAGAAGCTGCCATATAAAAGTTGTAAGTGCAGTGAAGATCAGCTAAGTTATGTAAATTGCAAATATTTAAAAGTTTTTTTATTTTAAGGTTTAAATTCTCTAACAAATTATTTATTTATCTTCATTATGTTCATTGTATATGTTTAGTTTTCTCTCAATTAAATATTTATGATATGACTAAAAACATTGATATTATATTTCAATGTAGGGTCAAACATAGACTTAGAATTTTTTTAAGGTTAATTAATTTATATAACAACAAATGGAACAACTTTGAATAAAGAATTTCACTTATTTGTAGTACCCACTGTACATGGTTGGTTGCTGACCATTTTCTAGCGGTCTGGCAGCTCTGCTTCAGCCGCTTATCGATAACCACAAACAGCTGATCGAACCGGTAGATTTGTCAAATTGCGAAATTTAATCCTTGGGGCTTTTTTTTATAATGTCCGATTCGGCTGCGGAAAATGCCGAAAAAGCGGAGGAGCAGGAGCTGCCGGAAGAAGTGGATACCGCCAAGTTGCTAGAAACCGCCGCCGCCATTCAGGAGGATGAGGATCTTGCAAATATTGTGACTGCTGAGGAGTATTTGATGTGCAAGGATGTGGTCCTTTTGGAATACGAGAAGCAAATGTTTCTCGATCAGGTTCAGGAAGATGGTCTTCTAGTCTGCGCCAAGTAAGACTGTGAAACTTTAGCTATATGCCGGGTTAATCCTGATTTCTAATTCTCTTAGAGGCCTGAGCTATGAGCGCGTTTTGATCAATATCCTTAAGGCCTACAGCGATTCCGGGAACCTGGTGCTCGTGATCAACAGTTCCGACTGGGAGGAGCAGTACTATAAGTCCAAAATGGAACCCAAATTCGTCCACGAAGTGGCCAACACTGCCACCGAAAGGTAGACCCATAATTCCTTTACAGAAGATAGTTTAAGGGATCATTCCTATATAAGTAGATCTACTATTATTAACATACTGCTTTGGAAAATTTACCATATAGTACCATAGGAGTAATATTTGTAGGTAGAACTCACAAAGCATTGCAGATCTTATTAACACCTTTTATAAGATTTACAATTCAACTTTGATAGAACTATGTATAGTCTTAGAATATCTTAAAATAAACTATACTACACAGATTGTATCATTACCTTTGCCCTAATGAGCTTCCCTCTCACTCTGATTAGTGTTTATTTTATTTGAACTGCAATTTAACTTTCTACTTATAAAGATCTCCCTTCTTTTGTCCAGGGAGCGCGTTTATCTGGAAGGTGGCATGCAATTCATCAGCACCCGCATTCTGGTGGTGGACCTGCTCAAGCAGCGCATTCCCATCGAGCTGATCAGTGGAATCATAGTCCTGCGGGCACACACCATTATCGAGAGCTGCCAGGAAGCGTTCGTCCTGAGATTGTATCGCCAGAAAAACAAAACCGGCTTCATAAAGGCCTTCTCCAGTAGTCCGGAGGCCTTCACCATTGGCTACTCGCACGTGGAGCGCACCATGCGCAATCTGTTTGTGAAGCATTTGTATATTTGGCCGCGTTTCCACGCCACCGTTCGTGGCGCCTTGCAGCCGTGGCAGACACAAACAATCGAGTTGCATGTTCCACTTAGCCAGAGCATGACCTCCATACAAACGCACATCCTGGACATTATGAACTTTCTGGTGCGCGAGATCAAGCGTATCAATCGAACTGTTGACATGGAGGCTGTCACCGTGGAGAACTGCGTGACCAAAAAGTTCCACAAAATCCTGCAGGCGCAGCTGGACTGCATCTGGCATCAGCTCAATTCGCAGACCAAGTTAATAGTGGCGGACCTCAAGATTCTGCGTAGTCTAATGATGTTAGTATAGGGCCTTCTTTTTTATTTATTTTTATTTACTTAAAGTGTTCTTATAGCTCCACCATGTATCACGATTCTGTGAGTGCCTACGCCTTGATGAAACGCTATCGGAGCACGGAGTATGCCCTGAGTAACTCGGGATGGACCTTACTGGATGCCGCTGAGCAAATTTTCAAACTCTCCAGGCAGCGCGTTTTTAATGGCCAGCAGGGTAGGGAAATCCCTATAATCATAAACCCTTATCTCTCTGACTAATTCCCTTTATCATACAGAATTCGAGCCCGAACCCTGTCCCAAATGGCAGGCTCTCACGGATCTGCTTACCCAGGATATACCCGGTGATATGCGACGTTGTCGGCGAACAGAGCAACCAAAAGTGTTGATCCTCTGCCAGGATGCTCGCACCTGCCATCAGTTGAAACAGTATCTCACGCAAGGTGGGCCACGTTTTCTGCTTCAGCAGGCACTGCATCATGAGGTGCCAGTGGGGAAACTAAGCGATAAGTACGCCAAGGAGAGCCAAACAAAGGGAGCTCCAACAAAGGGCGAGGCTTCCTCCAAAAAAGAGCCTCTTAAGGAGGAACTTTCCAGCTCCCAGCCACCGCCTGCTGGCATGGATGAACTGGCTCAGCTTTTAAGCGAATCGGAGACAGAGGGTCAGCACTTCGAGGAAAGCTACATGCTCACAATGACGCAGCCGGTGGACCAGGAGTCATTGGTTGACATTAAACCAGACCCGGATGTGTCCATTTTCGAAACCATACCGGAACTGGAGCAATTTGATGTCACAGCGGCACTGGCAGCGGTGCCTCACCAGCCATATATATGCCTGCAGACTTTCAAAACAGAGCGGGAGGGTTCCATGGCGCTGGAGAGCATGTTGGAGCAACTGCAGCCGCACTATGTGGTCATGTACAATACGAATGTCACAGCCATTCGACAGCTGGAGGTTTTTGAGGCCAGGCGTCGCTTGCCGCCAGCAGATCGCATCAGGGTTTATTTCCTGATCCATGCACGCACCGTGGAGGAGCAGGCTTATTTGACCAGCTTGCGTCGTGAAAAGGCAGCCTTTGAGTTGATTATCGACACTAAAAGTGTAAGTGGTGCAGAACTTATCTTCCCTTGCTATACAAAATATAATTATCGCTATTTTCCCCACAGAAAATGGTGATACCCGAGTACCAGGATGGCAAAACCGATGAAGCCTTCTTGCTGTTTAAAAGTTATGATGATGAGCTGACGGGTGAGAATGCCAAGAGTCGTCAGGCAGGCGGGCAAGCTCCGCAGGCCTCCAAAGAGACGCCCAAGGTTATTGTGGATATGCGTGAGTTCCGGTCGGATTTGCCCTGCCTGATTCACAAGCGTGGACTGGAAGTCCTGCCCTTGACCATTACAATTGGCGACTATATACTCACGCCGGATATTTGTGTGGAGAGGAAGTCCATCTCGGATTTAATTGGTTCCCTAAATTCCGGAAGATTGTACAACCAATGTGTGCAGATGCAGAGGCATTATGCAAAGCCCATCCTGCTGATCGAATTCGATCAGAATAAACCCTTTCATCTGCAGGGAAAGTTTATGCTTTCGCAGCAGACAAGCATGGCCAATGCGGATATTGTGCAAAAACTTCAACTGCTTACGTTGCATTTCCCCAAACTCCGCCTCATTTGGTCACCCAGTCCTTATGCAACGGCCCAGCTTTTCGAGGAACTGAAGCTGGGCAAACCCGAACCGGATCCCCAGAAGGCGGTGGCCCTGGGCAGTGACGAGCCAACGGCTGGCGAGCAATTGCATTTCAACAGCTCCATCTACGATTTCCTGCTACGTCTGCCCGGCGTTCACACGCGGAACATACACGGCCTGCTCCGGAAGGGTGGCAGCCTGCGGCAATTGTTGCTGCGCAGTCAGAAGGAGCTGGAGGAGCTGGTGCAGTCGCAGGAGAGTGCCAAGCTGCTGTACGACATCCTGCATGTGGCCCACTTGCCCGAGAAGGACGAGGTGGCCGGCTCGACGGCGCTGCTGGCAGCTGGCAAGCAATTTGGTGCCGGATCGCACAATCGCTTCAGGAAGGCGGCAGCCGAGTCGAGGCGGGGTCGTCGCTAGGGTCCTGGAGAAGGGACAGGGGGAAATATCAACGAACTGCAGGTGCACGATTTAAACCCCCCACATTATGTACGTGCTTCTTGTAGGTACATAAACCTACTTTAACTTTATACATTATGCATTAATTAATTACAAATTTGTGTATTAATAGATCCAAAGAGCAGAAGTTGGAGGAGCGCAAACTGCAGCAAAAGAATCGGGAGCCGGACAACCAACCAGTGCGCTCCCTGCCCTGAAGTGCCGAGCAAACAGACAGCGGGAAATTATGGAAATTTTTTAAACGATGCAATTAAGTCGACTGGGGAATGGGATGCGGATGCGGATGCGAATGCAGATGAGGATGGGGATGAGTTGGCTGTCTGGCCGTCAGACAACGTTGACAAGCGGGCAGGCACTGACCGCTGGGGATGCGACAACTCGGCGCCATCGGGGATGAGCGCTTAAAAATCAATTTTCAATAAATTTTTAATTGCCCCCGCACTGGCCGTCTGTGCATCTGCTGGCCCCATCCCACAGGATGTCCCTTCAGCAGGACACCTGCAACATTAACAGCCAGGCCATGTGATACAAGCAGCTATAAACGGAATTTTTCATCCGCAATGCACCTGCAAGAGAGCCCCAGTGTAAGATGTAAACTATAAACGTTTTCAGTAAGGAAAAACCTTTTATTTTTATGAAAAAGGATTCTTTTGAAAATGAATGGATAATGTAATTGAAAGAACATAAAAATAGGTTATACAAATGAATATTAAATAAGGTATATCTGTGTGTACTAATATACTAAAAAGTTGCCTTAAATGCATTACAAGATGGTATACATTTCCTGATAAGATCCTAAAGTTGCTTAAAGTATGTTTTAACTTTTGTTCAACATTGCAAATTGTAATTTTCTTATGGTCACCATGTTTTACTCAACTTAAGCTATACATTTTGGACCTTCAAAGGCTAAGGGAACGAACTGTAAGCGTTACGCCCATTGCACATCCAAATCCTTCTCAGATTCAGTGCATAAATTCAAAAACCGCAATTGGTTGCAAACTGAAATGACGATAAGCGAGGTAATTGGCATTCAGATTGAAATGAAGTGGAATGGGGCGAATTTGTAGAGGGTTCTGGTGGAGTAGAGCCCTGCATGGGGTCCAAATATGGATTGCTCATCAAGTGAAGAGAGCTTTGAATAGCAATACTTTTCCATGTATGTAGATGCATTTTATAAGCACAACATTCTACTATTAGAATATGTTGTAGAAGCAAACTGGTTGAAAGAAACAGTTAACTAATGCAGACTAGACTTTTTTATTATATTTATATAAGTATTTCATATTAACTAAGAGATTCTGTAATATTTATATAAATATTTCATATTAAGAGCTTTATAAGGGTTTTCTTTTTAGAAAACTCCTAAAATGAGGTGCGACAATTAACTTATTCATACTTATAAATAATTTGTAGGGTATCCACGTGACTGTAGGGCATTCGTACTTCAATATGATTCCCATCCGCCTGATTTCCTTTTCATGTTTGCCTTGGCTCTCGCTTTTTGTTGCGGCTCATTGGGCAAAGCGCGCTTAGAGCGTGTTTCTGATTGTTGGCATTATCTCCGGGTCCGGTCGCCACCTCCTCCGGAATGGGGCGGGTATCTCTATGACCCCCCCCCCCCCCCACACACACATACACCAAGTAAATATGTGTGAGTGAATGCTGTGTACACTGAGAAAGTAGATAAAGTTGTTTTGATAACTCCATTTTAGATAAGAACTTTTTTAATATAAATATTTTTTTTAATATACTCTAAATTGTAATATTTAAATTCTATTTAGTTAAACCTGATAAAATATCACTTCATTTTGGGATGATCTATTTACTTAAGCACTACTATTTTAATGTCAGGATTGCCATTACCTATCAACAATAAAAAATTTAGTTGATATACGGAAGATTAATAATGATAATATTGATTCATTATGATGATGGTAATACTTATTAGGACTAGAATTCAGATATAAATGGTTTTTTTTGGTAAATTCAATTTATTTCTAATGATATCCCATTTTTTTTAATTGTAATATAGAAGTATTATTTATAAATCTGATTTGATTTAATGTAGGAAATGGTCAATAATACATGGTTGTATATATTATTTACCCATCAAAAATGATTGTTAAATTGATATACCCTTTTATTATTCTTTTATCCATGATCTGCGAACTTCAAATAAATATTGAAATATTTCCGATCTGTGTACTTTTCAGCGCAAGTGATTCCAAATCCAAATTTGGCTGCCGTTGGCGGCCGGTCCCTGGACTTTTGGACTGGCTTTGTGGCCTTTCGATCTGAAACGATCCGCTCCGGTGTGTGTCAAAGCATATTTGCCAATTGGCTGCGCTTTGTGTTCGGGAAAATCGGAAAATGCCAGCGGGCCGAAAATCTAAGGGGGTGGTGCCGGAAAAACACATGGAGTGGGGAGTACGAGTAAGAGACGGCCGGATGGGGCACAATTAAAACTCCATTACAGCACTCTTGTCCTGCCACTGATTTTTGTTTGCCCCGGGGTGTCGGTTTCGCCCCCGCCCCTCGCCTTTGGCCTCCTCTCCATTTTCCGCATTTCCCCAGTTTTCCATTTGCCATTCGCCATTCGCCATTTCCCTTTCCGACTTTCCCAGTTTGGCCGCAACAAACGATTCAATCAATGGACAGTGGGGAAACCTGAACCGAAAAACTCAAAATACTTGACCCCACGACCCTTCCCCTCCTATTTTTTCCCCACCCACAATGACAACGTTAATTTCCACTCACCCAAAAACCAAATGGATCTTTGATTTGGTGCATTTTTCTTTCATTTTTTGTGCCTGCTTGTTTTTGTTGAGGGATTTTCGAGGGGCTTTGGAAAATAACAAAACGCCGAGGGGCTTAATTCTGCGGATTTTCGGGAGGTGTAAGTGCTTGTCATACATGGGAATTCGGTAAATTGAATTTTTTATGGGTCCTTTAGCAGTATTGCTTTTGAAATAAATTTAAAAATGTATTTTTGAGCAGAACAGATTAAAAATAATATTTATGGTTAGGTATAAATATCAAAAAGGAAAGGTTTGAAAATGTTTTCGGTTAATATTTGCTTAATTACCCATGTATTTTCACTTTACATTTACTTATATTAATCAAAACCTTCATTTTACCAAAGATTCTACTCATTAATCAGCAAATCTTGTATTAAGTGTGCTTAAACAAAGCTTAAAGTGGGCAAGACAAACAAATTCAGTGGAGTGCAAAATGAAATTAGCTGAAATTCCTCGAATTTAATTGAACAAAGTTGTCTCTACTAATTCGATAATTGATCGGAATTAATTGCACACTTTTTGCATACTTCATTCGAAATCCCCCGCTCCGATTCAATACAAAGACCATTATGGATTGGGATTGGCCGGCAAATTAAAAGCCACATCGTTAACCGCAGGCATCATTAAATATTGGTAGTAATGGTGGGAGAAAGTGTCTGAAACTGGCATTTCACTTGTTACAGGGGGACTTTAAAGTTAGAAATAAATTCGATTTGAAATACTTGCGGTCCTTAAAGCTAGATTTACATTTAATCTGGAGCAAGGCATACAACCCCATTCATAAATAAACATCGTAAGCAACCAAATGATGTCCTGAAGCAATTAGTTCCTTTGGCATTTACCATTTCTCACTTTCATTAGTCAAAGTCAAAGCCAAAAGAGGCATTATTTCCGGGGCGTTTTCCATCGATTTTGGCCTAATTTCATTAGGGCAGCACGAGAAGGGAAATTGTTGGGCAATTTGACACATTTCATGGCGCGCTGGCAAAAGTAATGCCTTTCTTGGCTGAGAGCGAGGAAAATGCATTTAAGAAATTCTGACAGCCTGTGCACAAATACCTTTGAGCTCGTGCATGCAAATACACTGCAAGAAAAATAAATATTACAAAAAAAAATATTTAAAAAAAGTACAAATATATTTATAACTATTGTATCTTAAACATATTGGGAATATTTAATTATCAACAAAGAAAAACCTGTTTTAAAATTTAAAAATATTTTTGGGTTATATATGTTAACAAATATTTTTGGAAATTTGTCAAGGTTTAAAGTTTGTTTGAAAAGACTTTTGATAAAAAAATAAAATAAAAATACCAAAAAAAATACAAAAAAAAGTATATAATATCATTATAGATACCAATTCTGTATTTATAATATTAAAGTTCTTAAACATTTGTTTTTTAAAATTTATCTTACAGAAAAATTTTAATGCATTTTACTTTTAATCTCTTTTCAATTAGTTTTCTAAATGATATGCATCCCTGTTTCAGATTTTCAGACTATCCACTTGTCTTGAACTTCAATTTGCTTCCAGGCCAAATGCAGTTCAACTGACCATGTTTTCTTCCCAAATTTACATATATGTTTGTATATCTGGATGGTACAGTAGTTCCTGGCTCAAGAGGGCGGAAAACAGGAGCTCGGTCGTGCCTTTTCGAAGGCAAGACTGCTTATCATAAATGACAAATCTAGAAGTGAATGCGAATGCTAAACGACCAACAACTAAATGGGCCAAAAGAGCGGGGAAAATGGGAATGGCTGGCGTTCCAATTTTCCTGCATTTGGTGTAAATGTAAATGTAAACGATATAATCGCCCGTCTCCATCTTTTTTTTGGGGAGGTGTGGGGTCTTTGGGAAAATTACCACCCAAAAGGGGGCGGGCAAATGGAAAACACAGAGCCGTAGAGGAGCCAAAATAAACGAAAGCCCTGAATCACAAGCTCTAAAACTTGCTTAAGAAGGAAAAGGGCGGTTCTTAAAGTCGTTTCTAATGGGCTGCATAACCCCCGATCGAAGGTTTACTTTCCGGAAAGTAACTGTTTGCTTGGTTAATGGAAAACTAGCAGTTCAGTTGGAAACTCTGGTTTTGTTGTTACTTATGTAGGAAAACACAAGTTGGGATCGTTAGTATTTTAATATAATAAGTAATGGGGTTTTAAATCACTTTATAGGGCAAGTTTTAGGTGTCTAAAAGTATGCAGTGAATAAAGAAGGAAATTCATTGAACTTCTAAGTTTAAAATATTTTTATTCCTATTTTGATTTTGGTCAAAAATACGCTTTTTTTTAGTGGTTTTTCGCTCGTAGTTTAGCCAAATCAAGGCGTACAGCTAAAAGACCGACTGTTTTGAACAGCTTGCTAGCCATGCTAACAATCCCAATCATTTTAAGGAAAATTTATTTTTTGACCCATTTTCGCATTTTTTACAGGGGGTGCATCGTGATTTTTTGAAAAAAATGTCGAAAATTAAAATTTTCCAGGTTTGAATGCCAATGGATTGGAAATTAAACAACGAGTTCAACGAGGTATGGCATTCATCGATTTGACGAATATTTTTGTTACAGCAGCCAAAAAACTGATTTTACATGGCGAAAAAATGGGTTTCAGATTTTGATCAAAAACACGATTTTCACATTTTACTCAAAAATACGATTTTTCTTTCCAGTTTTTCGCTCGTAGTTTAGCCAAATCAAGGCGTACAGCAAAAAGACTAACTGTTTTGGAAAGCTTGCTTTATTTGCTAACGATGCCTATCACTTTAAGGAAAATTTATTTTTTGACCTATTTTCGCATTTTTTATAAGGGGGTTGGTCATCTATTTTGGCGATTCAGATTTTGGTCAAAAATACGCTTTTTTTAGTGGTTTTTCGCTCGTAGTTTAGCCAAATCAAGGTGTATAGCAAAAAGACCGACTGTTTTGGAAAGATTGCTTTATTTGCTAACGATGCCTATCATTTTAAGGAACATTTACTTTTTGACCGATTTTCGCATTTTTTGTAAGGTAGGTCATCTATTTTGGCGATTCAGATTTTGGTCAAAAGTACGCCTTTTTGAGAAGTTTTTCGCTCGTTGTTTTATCCAAATCAAGGCGTACAGCAAAAAGACCGACTGTTTTGGAAAGCTTGCTATATTTGCTAACGATGTCTATTACTTTTTTAAACAACAAAAACAACTTCTCAAATTCGCATTTCCCAATGATTTTATGAAAAATCAGTGACCTTATGATCATTACTCACTCAAAATTCGTTCCACATTAGTCATATTTTTTGGAACCTCCAAAATTGACTGTGGTGATGTCGCGTTACCAGTACGCCGATCAAATTTTGGAGGCCTTTAACGTGTTCCATCGACCCCTTCTCCTCGAGGAGGTGGCCTCCTATGTGGCCGAAATGGAGGCCAAGAGCCCTGAGGAGGTGCGATTGGCGGTGGACAATACGCTGACTGCCGGCTGGATGCAC